CAAGCCATGCATGGCACAGCCCCCGTTAGTTATCAAATTTAAGATATATAGTTTTGTTTATAGTAATATAGCTGGAATATAACCATGTCAGGAATATGATTTTTTAACATTAAAATGATTGACATTTCCATATTGCTCTGGAACAGCATTCAAAATCAGCCATTTTGAATACATGTATATATATAACATGATGTATAACGAATGTATAAAATTTGAATATAATCAGTCAAAGCATTTAAGAGATATGGCTCTCGAAGACCAATCATTAAAACAAAATGGCCGCCAGACAGCCATTTTGAATCTGATCTGAAAAATAAATGATGTGCATTAGAAACCTGTAATGTCTAATATATGTACCAAGTTTGAACAAAATCCATCTATAAATGCCAGAAATGCTTGATATTTGATGATTTTTTAGCACAAAAATGGCCACCATTTGGCCATTTTGAATAGGATCGTCAAACCAATAAATCTGTATATTTATGACATGATGTATAATGAATATTTAAAATTTGAACATAATCAATGAAAGCAAGTCAGACATATGGCACGAGAACCACATAAATTAAAACAAAATGGCCGCCAGTCAGCCATTTTGAATCTAATCTAATTTTGAATCTAAATTATTTGCATCAAGGTCCCATAATGTCTAATGTATACACCAAGTTTGAACAAAATCCATCTGTAAACAGCAGAGAAATGCTTGATTTTTATGATTTTTTAGCACAAAAATGGCCGCAATTCGGCCATCTTGAATCAGATTGTAAAACAAAATGATGTGCATCAAGGTCCTATAATATCTAACGTATATACCAATTTTGAACAAAATCTATCTGTAAACAGCCGAAAAATACTTGATTTTGATGATTTTTAGCACAAAAATGGCCGCCATTCGGCCAACCTTGAATAACCTATGTATAATATCATGTATGATGTATGTGTGAAGTTTGATTGTGATTGGTCCAGGCATTTCTAAGATACAGGTCCGAACGGACGCACGCACGCCTGGAGGTCAATACATAAGTCCCTGTTTTCGATCGGACTGCGTCCGAACGGGGACTAAAAATATTTGATAGTGTTCATAAGCTTTTGTGAATCCTTGTCAGATACCCTGCCTGCCATGTAAAGGTAGATAACATGGCACAGAATTTGGATCTGAATCTAGTGTGTTATAATGGTCAATATCAACCTGTGTCAATATCAACCATGTGTCACCTTATCTGTATCAATGATGTGTTGTGGTTGTATTTTGCCAGAGACCTGTCAAAGCGCAAATTTCGGGCATAATAAATCAAGTCATTTGCATAACAAGGTGATTTCCAGTAGTAAACACTGCCCCATAATAGACCATTTTCTGGTCACTGCGTGATCTCGCATTGTACGTGAAATCGAATGTAAAAACAGGGCAAACAAACGTCATAGCGTTGTAGTGGCGATATTAGTGGGGGATAGTTCCATGCTTAATAATGGGCTGCACACATTTGATGATGGTCAATTTCGATGAAGTAATGGTATTCAAATGCAATATTCCTCTGTCAAAATTCAGCCTGTGAGCTACAAAATTCAAGTTTAAAATCAAATCATTTGATTTTTGCGGCAGACGATTGGCACGCATCTTCCAGGCAACTCGTGAGATCTCGCAGTGACCGTAAAATGGTCTATTGGAGCTTGATCTATTAAAGCATGCGAGATTCATCATCCCCTCTACAGTGGACCTGAATTTAGAACGAGTTGGTTTGAGGGTTCACTTTCAATAGAGGGGTGATCAGGTTATAGAAAGTATATGCATCTCACCTTCTGGTCCTCTTCCGTTTTCTCTGCATAGTCCAAAGTTTTGGTCAGATAGAGCAGTGCCATCTTATTGTCGTTTAGTTTTATATAAGTTTTAGCCAGCATTAATAAATTCATGCTATAGAAGTTGGGGTCCACTGAAACACAGAAAGAAAATGTTTATGTCGTAGATAATATAATTATCAATTGATTGATTGATATGTTACATACCATCAACTTTAATAGCCTAACAGGTAGACTGGCACAGTCGGGGCGATTGATTTGTTTTTGAAGTTTAAATAAAATAAAAAAATTTGCAAAATGGAGGTGTTAGTGCAAAATCACCTTGACTGGTTTATTCTGCAGGAAATTCATTGCTATTAAATATTCATAATGCACATATTATAATGAGGTGGGCGCGGAAATACGTGCATAATAAGGTCAACATGGTATAGGTCACACTGCAGACACAACATGGCGGCACATTGAAATTTGAGTTTGTCGTAGTCGTCGTTTCTAATTCATCACAATGTGTAAAAAAATAACTCGTACTAGTTGAAAAATTAAAAAAAATCGGCTGCTACAATCAGCCAACGTCTTTTCGGTCAGAGGTCAGTTGAAGAGACGTTGTGATTGGCGTAGATGATTGTCAATTAGAACACTGTTTAACATAATTACCCGTTGAAAAATCAACGGGTTCCTGCAGTGTCGATAGAGGGCCATGCAGAATAAACCAGTCGGGGTGATTTCGCAGTTACAGGGGATTTCGCGCTAACACCTCCATTTCACGATTTTTTTTTATTTTAATTAAACTACAAAAGCAAATTAATCGCCCCGACTGCCCAGTCTACCTATCAGGTAGCGAAGCTCACTTTCTAGGTGGAGAAGCAGATAGATAGTGTCAGATTAATTTTATCGTATGTCAAATTGAACATGTTGATCCAAATTTCTTTGTTTGCTACCAGCTCCATATTATCCGTTTCTGAGACACTTGCTCGGTGAACCTCTGTTGTACCAGCCATTTTTCAAAAAATTTAAAGACGTTTTATGCGCCTCATAACTTTATCAGGATGATTTCAGGATAATTGTTCAGGAAAGTTGTCTCACTTCAATTTTTTAAGCGGAATATTAATTAAGTAGATCTACTAAATTTACTATTAAAAAAAATATAATAATTGAAACTGCATTGCTTTGTTGCCCAGTTTATGTCACTTTACTTTTTAGAATTATATATGTCTGGAATCCCCTGTGTTTTGACTAGTCTTCTATTTCAAATAAAATCCTCAGCCACGACAGCAGTGTTGCATTGCAACACTAGGATGCCATTTCAGTGGGATACCACGATTAATTTCAGTCATCCTGCGCTTGGTATCACTTTACTTGGCATTGCTTAAACATTATACTCAAGAAGGTAGATAGACTGGTGCAAATTTGTTTTTTGGGTTTTTCCCCCATGGCCCCTCAATGATATTTTCAAAATACCCACTTCGAGAGAATGGTGGTGAATCACCACATTACAGCCCCTCTATCACACGTTGTGGTCTTTATATAATTCCACTGCAAGAATTGACAATTAAACTCTTGTAGAGATGATATGGCTTCCATCGAGTTTGCTTGAGATCTGGATCGTCATGTAACTAGTCAGAAATGGCTTAATTGGTCACAGACCATCTCAGAGTCTTGTATTTTCTTGTTGTTACTGAGACAAAAACATGGGTCATCGTTCTCCCCTTCCAAGGTCGATAAATGAAGTTATACAATCCCGAACTGCACTTTTAAATCAACATCATATCTACTCTTCCACACAAACTCATTGCCAAAAGACTAGGAGGGACCAACAGAGAAGTAGAATTTGTAACACCTGTATATAATAATCACTTCTTTGGGGAGTTAATAGATCAATGAACCACAGGGTTACACATCCTCTCTCGCACATGGTGGCTCAAAATTTATTTCTGCCCCATCAGACTTCAGAGCTAGTATGGCCTCCATGCCAACTGTAACAGGCTCTGCACTGACTTCAATTCGATAGGTCCAAATTGATCAATTACATAGTGGCTTGGTCTGCGACCACTCAGGACAACACCTTTCTCAACCAACTGATATCGCCTTTACATTATTTAGACACAAAGTATGACTTCTGGGTGTTTTCTTTCAGGGTCACTAATCAGGATACAGAAAAACTTTTTCACTGACATGCACAAATTCAAATATAGAATTACTAAACCAAGAAATTGCCGGTCACAATCTTCATCTCTCTGCATTCCCGGATAACAAAACTACAGGCTGACAGAAACTAATGAAAATCCATGAGAAAAATCAGATGAAAAACATTTTTTTAGTCATATACATCATTATGCAAATTTATTCAAGTAGATGTCACTCACCATTTTCAGCTCTCATAAAATATGTAAGTGCCTGAAAAATAAATTCCAAGTCCCAAGTTACGTACATTTTCCCTCCAACTTTAATCTACTATTATGTTGAACACAACCTGTTTAACTTTTTCACTACCAGTTCCCTCTTTTCATCATAAATTCTCAAAATAGTCCCGTTTATAGTCAGCAACTTTTCTTCAGAAGATTCCGAAAAAAATAGCCAAATGTTTTTTGTACAAACTGAAAATTGACTCAAATTTGTCTGTTGGCTCCAAAATTGGGGTTCTTTTCCAGAAATATCGAAGAATATAAGAAAAAAGTGCAGAAAAATTTGAACGAGAAAGTCTGGTGGTTGAAAGGTTAAAGTTTCAAAGAAGTTATAAAACTGTACTGTTGTAAACGTTGAAATAATCTCAAAAAATTCTGTAGCTCCATTTTCTGACATCACCATGTTCAGGTAAGCGTGCATCTAATTATCTAATCACTTTTAAAATAAACACTTGGTTAAAACATGAAAAAATAAATGTAATTTTACCTCATTGTAAGTGGATTCTGGTGGTTTTGCAAATATAACAGTAGCAATCTTCTGTTGGTACCAGGGCATCTCGGCAAACGTAAAGCACCTAGAATGAAATGAGAACTGTATAAACTTCATGTATAACATTTCTTGATATTTTTTTTACATGTACTCCTTGAGTTGAGAAGGTCTGAAAAATGAATTTTTCATATTTCCGATATCCTCATAGCATAGAAGCCACCACGACAGCCATTTGGAATTAACAATTCATGAAAGCCTTGAGAAAGACATTTTGAAAATGCAAGGATTTTTTTTGTTTCAGCCTAATACTGTAAAATACTTTATTTTAGCTGGAATTAATTTTCGCTGAAAAGACATTTTTGGTGCTTTGTATGGAATTTATTCTCTCTAATTTTTGACAAGTTAAATGTAAAATATAGGAAAAAAGGTATATTCACTGGATTTTATTTTCACTGAATCATTCTTTCAGCGAAAATAGCAAAAATTATTTCCAAACGAAAATAAAGTATTTTACAGTACTTCATCACAAACAGTTCATAACAGTAGTCTTGTGGCAGTGAGATCAGGAACAGAAATAAACCAGTGTTGTGGACGATGGGTGGTGACCCCATTCAATAAAGGCAAAATAGATTGTTGTGAAGTGCTAAATTCAAAACAAACGACTTTACAGTCAAATTGTATCAATCATGATGTGTATGAAGCAAGATTAGCTAAAATATAGTAATTTACAGTTATTTGCCATAGTTATCATTATCAGTGTTTTTGTCATATCACAACCATGGCAGTTTATGGGATTCTGCTGAAAGTATCTACATATCAATTATCAAAGTATCATAGCAATTAGGTTCATAGTAGTGAAAATAGCATTTTTTAAACAAAAATTACAAAATATTTGTTAAAATCAGAAATTTGACATTATCAGTACAAAATGCACATCAAGTATCAAAAGCAATTGTGTAGGTGGTATTCAAGAAAAAGTCATTTACACCAAAATTTAACACAGAAGGCAGACAATGGACAGTCATTGGAAAAATCACCTTTATGAATACCGGTAGCAAAATCTTGTGTGAAAGTCAGATACCTAAATCAGCATTTATGAAAATAAAAAGAGCATGACTACTGAAGCTCAGCTCTACATACATTTTATTTCACACCTTTTAATAAAATTAGCCATTGAAAAAAAAGAAAAAATGAGACAGCAGTGGTTGGTATTAAACATAAAATGACCAAAAAGTTGTCAATAAAGTCATTATTTGTACGTTGGAATTTAAGCCAACAAACGATAACAGCTGAGAGTTTGGGATTGGAATAAACCAGATGGAAGGAATAAAAAAAAGCTATTTATTCAACTCTGTTATGCTCTCATTCAGTCAGCTGACCCTGTCGAATCCTCTTAGTGGCACATTTGATGAAAAAAAAAGATTACGCATGTACAACAGCTGTGGAAATAGTAACACCTATCTTATTTCATATATCACATTACACAGACTAACTCAGGTAACTCAAAACAATGTACTCAAATGCAATTAGTTCAGTATTGATTATGATATTAAACAAATTGTTCGAGGCTTATACTTTTAAACACATTACTCGATAAAACCAGGTTCAGGTTTAATCACACGAATAATTCTTACTGAAATCAAAATATTGAAAAGCATTTTAATTTCATGAGTGATAAATAGCCAGTGACGGTTAAATTTGCGAATTTTTCACTGAGGTGCGAAAAACGCTGTGTCACAGAGCTTTTGAGAAATGTTGTCTCAAGTATGTCTTAACAGAGGTACATTACTTGGGGTTTGCAACGCGCATAGTACTGTATGGTGACATCATGTCAAGATCCCATTCAAGTCTCATCTCGTAGATAGCGAGACTGATGCTATGACCTTCTGACATGACATATATCAATGTTCAAGGTTTGTAATAAAACAATAAAGCATGTCTTACCACTATCATAGTGAAAAAATGTAATACATCGAAAATGTACAGAAAATATAGTTCTCGTAATCCGTCATATCGTGAGCAGCTATTTTGATCCACCTGGACCTCCCAGTATCCTAATTACCTTGGGCGTGCGCATTCGCATTGTTCTGAGTTGGGAACGCTTATGCGAGAGCGAGATTGAAACAGGATCTTGGAATCATGTCACGCTACTTGCACCCCAAATTAAATGGTGAGAATTCCTAGCAAAGAAATTTGATTGGTTAACAGTATTTCCATATACGTATATTGTTCGCTATGATATGCCCAAGCAGGTACTGGATTGCCACAAAATAGCATGTGTTTAAAGGGGAACCTTCCAAGCCCAGGGATTGCACCAAAGAATCATGGGACCCTATTGTTTATGTTGTTTACAAAGTTAATCTATCTTTTGTTATCCATTGTAAGAAAGTAAATTTGTTGTGCGATTAGTCTTAACTGGGAGTGCCCCTTTGACAATTCATGGTTCAGGGCCACCACCCAATCAAATGATCTGATGTGGTGCAGGATTCAAGATGGCTCTTAAGTGATATAACAAGAAAGCCAACAGAGATGTCAGAACACCTTGCACATTCATTACAAGCACTGGTTGAACATCGATGTCTGCAACAGTGTTCCAGATTTGATAGTTAGGCATGTATGGTTGTCAAATATGTTGATCAAATCATAAGCCAAATGTTTTCAAGGAAGCACTTGTTGAATGCCTAACTGCAATAGTGCTCTAGATATAATAATTGTGCATGTTAATGAGGTCACATGATCATATAGGGCTATTAAATATATTGATCAGATTATGGGCCCAATAAAATTTTCAATAAAATAAAATATTATGTGAGTGAATAAATGCCGAAAGACAGGTTACTGCGAAACCTTTGCAAGGGTTCTCTTGACGTAATTTACATATCACAGGATTTGACTGACGCCTTTAATCTGAACCCCATCGCCATTGATGTAGACAGCTTTTAGGCCGCGTTCCATCATTTTGTGTACTTGTTCTTCCATAAAAGCCACCAGTAGAGATACTATTGGACGTTCATAGAAATTTCTGTAAAGCTTGAAGTCCGGGCAGAAATACGTAATTCAGAAGGTTAGGGACTTTACACTGCCAGTGGGCACACTCACAAAAACATCGCGACCATATTCCCAAAGCAATGTATAGCCTAGTATCTTTAGAGCACTTTTGACGCTGTCTTGCAACGCCATCATAAAAATCTCAAAAAAATATGAAATGTAAAATTGCGAAGTTTTCTAAACTATCAAGACATTAATGTTGATTAGCGGAATAATAGTGTGCCTGTCAATCAATGCATCACACACTGAACCCGACAGTGGTGACAATCATCACCGGTGTTGCAAGAGAGCATCTACAAGTGTCACAAATCTCTTGATGGTTTCATGGTCTACCTCTATGGCTGGCATGTGAAACCATATGCACATGGTTCAAAATAGGCGCAAGTCCCATTGTCCTAGGCCGTGGGACAACCAAATCTTGAAACTGGTTGCCCATGGAGTCAATAAATTTTCCTTTTATTTATATGCTATAAAAACTATAAGTCCAGTGAAGTTTTATCATTTTGCTGGGAAAAAAATCAGTTTCAAACATTGCTACTCGCCTCCAGATATATGGAGATATACTACTAGTAAGCCAGGAATTTGTAATGTTTGTTTAGATTAACTATTTCACCACCAGACTTTCTCGCACACATTTTTCTGCACTTTTTTCTTATATTCTTCAATATTTCTGGAAATGAACCTTAATTTTGGAGCCAACAGAAAAAATTTGGGTCAGTTTTCAATTTTTACTCAAAACATGTGGCCATTTTTGTCCCAATCTTCTGAAGGAAAGAGCAGACTATAAATAGGATTATTTTGTGAATTTGTGATGAAAAGAGGGAACTGGTGGTGAAAGGGTCAAAAATTATTGGACAACTACATTTTCATGTGAACAACCAGGTATTTTTTTTTTATTTTGACCCCTGATACATGTTTCAAACAGAATAGTGCTGCCCATGTGATACTTGTCATTCAAATGTACCTGAGAGATGGAATGTCTGGGTGAATAAGTTAAAAATTAAAGTTATAAACAAAATGCGACAGTTTATGCTGTTTTTCAACATTTACATAATCTGCAATTCTGTTTGGTTACTCTGGTTCAGAAGATCTAGGCAAATCTGGTAAAAAACAATGTGCAGTTCGCAGTCAAATGCCCAAAACAATATTGTTTATAATGTATATAGTGATAAAGAACTCAAATGTCACAATAACTACACAGTGTTGTAACGCAGTGAATTGCAAAGGCAAACAGTGCATGAGACTACATGAAAAGAAAAATAAATTTCTTTTTGAAATCTCTTTAGATATACTTAATTAAACTTACCATAGTCCCATTAAATGAATGGATGTGGCATCACTTGGGTTTAATTCTATAGCTTTCTGGGAGGAAAAAACAAAATGATAACAAATTGACATAAAGCTGATAGAGGTCCAGAGAAGGTACCTCATATACAATATCAAAGTAATCTAGCTAGAATGCTTTCAATAAAAAACATAATTTACCAAAAATGACAGATTATTCACAAAAATGATAGAATTAAAATCGTCATAAAATTAACAAGCTTTTACCAAAAAAGTTATCATCACAAAATGAACTATCGGATAAAGGTGCAACCCAAAGTACCTACATTAGAGCAAAACATTTTCAAGAAGAAATCTCTAAAATTAGAGAATTAAAGATATCGTCATGAAATGAATAAATCCAAAGAATCTACACATGATTTATCAAAGCAATCAGGAAAGCACTTAATCAAATCGACAGTGAATTTTCAGTGTGATAATAAGTTTTCCATTATATTGAAAAGTTGTATCCCATGATGCATAGCTCAGTAAGTGCAATACTGTAGAATACTTTATTTTCGCTATTTTTGCTGAATGGATGATTCCGTGAAAATAAAATCCAGCGAATATACTTTTTTTCCTATATTTCACATTAAATTCATCAAAAATCAGTGAAAATAAGTTCCATACAAAACGCCCAAAAAAGCCTTTTCAGCGAAAATTAATTCCAGCGAAAATAAAGTATTCCACAGTATTTGAATTTGAAGCAAACTGCCCTGAGAACTGCCTGAAAGACTGGAATTATACATAGGAGCATGGCATGTTATGTGCAACATTTACAAGAATTCCAACACATTCTGCGTGAACACTAAAGCAGCTTTTAATTGCTGCAAGCTTTATGTGAATCACAAAATAGAAGCCTCTTGGCTGATAAAGCTTCGCTGTTAACAATGCACATTCCAATTGGAGAATTGGAGTTATCGTCACAAAATGTAAAACAGGTCTATCTGAGGTAGCTGAGGTATGTTATGTATCAAAGTAGATATGTGGTTTTTGAAAAAAAACAGTAATATGATTAGCTCCACTCGACGAAATTGACAGCGAAGCTAAAAATTCACAAACATTTAAGAAATAAAATTGGTTACAGTACATGCTGGTGGCATATAGAATCTAGGAGACTACTACATTACTCAACAGAGGGAACTGTGATGATTGAACACTGCTGTTACGATAAGAGGATTCTCTCCCCATAAAGTCATATGTCTGTTGGAGCAAGGCAAGTCAGCATTACATCGTTATTGTGAAATATACAATAGATACTCTGAGCTGTACAAAGGCCAGTGTGTTTGATTTTTTTAAGCTGATCAACAGAATTAGATTTCCCACAGGATAAGATGGACAAGGGGATACCGACAAAATATAATGCCGGCTTGCAGACCCCCAACATTAACAGAAATATATATGTTATACAGAGTTTGTTATACCTTCTCATATTTAATTAGAGTACTCACTAACGTACCAAAACAAAGGTAGAGTACTATAAACCGCTTAATTTTCATGATTTGATGATTTTTCGGCATTCATGGAGGTCGAATTTTGCAGAATAGAATCCCCTGAGAAATACTCACTGCTACAAAATTTTATAATTTTTAATAGCTCGAGAAATTTATCTATTGCAAAATTAATGCAGTTCACAGGCGATATAATACAGAGAATAAATGGCTGTATAAACTCAGTATTATTCAAACATGAAAAAAACCAGATTATTTATCATACTGCAAGCAGTTCAAAGGTCATTATTTATTAAACAGACAGACACATCTTGTGATGACAGGAGATTGATTGGACTGACGGCTTTACAATTCACAGGTGAAACGTACTACAATGAAACATCAGATTACCACAGCTGCTATAACTACTACAACACTGCATGACTGCCCTCTAGTGGCGCTTGTGAGATGTGTATCCTCGGGGGCGGACATCCGGGCATTTTCTACCGCCTGGCAACCCTCGCGGTGAAAACAAAGACCAAAAACTCGCAGAAAACGTTACTTTGCAATGGTTGTTGAGAGTCCCCTGAACAGCGTAACAAGATTAGCCCTACGTGTGTAACATATATGAATTTGGTTGTTCAGGATTACTTCAAAGTTGAGTTTGTGTTGTTTTCTCGAATTTTCACCGACTCGACCAGTGTTCCACAGCAGCGCGCACAGAGCCCATAGAAATGCATGTACAGTGGTGCGCGTCTTAGCAACGTGGAACGTCTGTGACGTAGCTCCGCCCCCGAGGATTGCACCTTATATATATATTTGTCCTTTACATGTAAAGTTAATTGTATCTTTTGTTTTGAAAGAACTGTTGTGAACTCACCAGGAAATGGTCTCTTATGACAAATGCATTAGCTATTTTCTGTTTGGTTCCTTCGTAGTCACCAACATCACTGATACATATTGCGTACCACTGAAAGAAACAGAATTAGAAACAAAGTTGTAAAAATGTGTGCATTTATAAATACACAGCAATTTCAGAGATGTATTGATGATAAATCAACATGTTTTATGTCATTTTTCGTAAATTGATTATTGTGCAAAAACTCACATGACATGATATATATTCTATTCTCGATATTAGTAACTATGTTCATGATGTAGGAATATTTTAAACAAGGGAACAAGGGCGCAGCGCCCTCATGCCATGGCCATGCGCCCCCTTACCCTGGGGAGCAGATCCTCTGGCAACCATAAAATTGTGATTGACCAAGGATCACATGTGGCCACAGTCTTCATCTGACCTGTGTGATAGTAATTTTGGCCCCAAGGAAGCAATAGAATGCTCAATTTTAACTTAGAATTATCAAAAACTCCACACCCTGGTAGGGAGAACCCTATCTCCCCCACTTGGTGGCGCCGCTGAATTGCAGTGCTCCCTCTTGCAGTTTTTTCTAGAAAAAACCCTGATGATGCAATGTTAAAAATTTCAGATCACTGAGACAGTCAATTCGTCACACAGGTAAATTCGCCCCAAGTCGATTTGTTTGACAAGTTTAGTCGTTTCACTAGTTGATTCGTCCCACAAGTTGATTCGTTCCACAAGTTGATTCATACAATTTAAGGTTACCTTGCACTAAATCATGCAAAACCAACTCACCTGAACTAAACTTGCCAGCTACCAACATGTAACAAGATCCAAAAAACAAACTGCATCTAATCTTGGTAACACACGTATCATGTGTGGCATGTTTTTTAATTTTTAAAGTTTGTTTTTGAAAGTAAATATTACTGTAAGGAGGTCATACATGCAAACGATATTTTATTCTAGTTTTCTGAAACAAATATTAGGAACCATAGTTTTTATGTGTGTTGTTTGGCAGTCCTAATACATCAACTAAGCATGTCTCCATTGAACTCCACAACTACACTGGGACATTTTTGGTTATTCACTCATTCATCCGACCCAATGCAATGCCCTGAGTTAATTATATTCACATGAAAACTACCCATGTCACCAAAAAAACAAAACACGATTAAGCTTTGGTATTCCCAAAGTTAATTTTTTTTTCTTTATTTTTCTTTTTTTAAGTGTTTTTTTTGCCCGGCGACAGTTCTGGCCATTGAATGTCACTGTTGTCTCGCCTGACTTTTTTGTTTTTGTATGTGCAAGTTGCAAGTGCTGACATATAGTGCAGTTTTGCTACAGAAGCCATATTCATATTTTGGGACTACACACATGACAGGGCTGTGCGGCCATCTTCTCTATCAAATGGCAATTTAATGCGCTATCCTGGCGTCAACCAGGCTTGGTCTAACACAAGCACCTGCGAACCTTAACCAAGGTTCCCCTAAAGTTGCATTCGTTAGTGAATGAATCTCGGCCAGTGGAATTGGCCTTCTCATTGAGTCTGTGGCACACTCACCCAGGGTAGGGGTCGACTCTTCAGGTGTTCAGCCGATCCTGAGTCCGATGCAACAACCACTATGCTACCAGTGATCGGTTATCAGTGATCCCTCAAGTTAATTATAGTCACTTTAAAAGCTACCCAAAATGGCTACCAAACCATGAAACTAATCAAATTATTGCAAGGCAGGTGCACCTGTTCATGTTATCCTTAATCAATACAAACATTTGGCAATGCACAGCAGTCTCTCTTATGTTGTATTTAATGATGAAGAACATAAGCATACAGAATTCGGTTTTTCTCAAAGCATGTACAAAATATAATGTATATATTTCTGGGATAGAATTGTCGAAACACAAAAAGACACCAGTATGCCATCTAAGGTTTACAAATTAACCTTTTCACCACCAGACTTTTTCACCCAAATTTTTCTGCACTTTTTCAACATATTCTTCAATATTTCTGGAAGTGCACCTTACATTTGGAGCCAAAAGACACAATTTGGGTAATTTTTCAGTTTTTATTCAAAAACTGTGGCTATTTTTGACCTAATCTTCTGAAGGAATGTGCAGACTATTTTGTGAATTTGTGATGAAAATACTGTAAAATGACTAATATTCACTGGGTTTAAATTTCACTGATTTACCATTTCAGGCATATTCAGTGGGTTTTAAATTCACGGTTTCGTCATTTAGATAATGTGTTCTATGCTAAATTTTACATATTTACTGTGTTTTAATTTAGCGCATTTTTCCAGTCAGCGAAATAAGCTAAATTAAAACCCAGTGAATAATTACCCCCTTTACAGTAGGAAACTGGTGGTGAAAAGGTTGAAGTTATGTGCATCAATTCCCACTAATGATTAATCCTTCCACCAGGTTGGACAAAGCATGCCCAGGATCTGGAAATGTCAAAATGCCTGATTTTAGTGTATTTTTTCACAACTCAAATGGTCATCAGTCTGTCATCTTTGTTCAAATGACAAACGTATTGTATGTGCGTAAGTATGAAACAGCTCCAGACAGATGGTCAGACAGACGAACGAACACACAAGAAACCATTAAACCCTGTTTCCGACTGCGTTAGAACAAGGACTAATAACAAGTTTGAGAGCATTATGTTCACTGGTTCTCTGAAACAAGCTTAGAAAAAAACAAAAAAACAGACGAAGTTTGAGAAAATAGGTACTATAACAGGGCTACAAGCCCCAATGATTCAAGTATTGGAAGAATTATAAACAAGAACATATATTATTACAATCAATTTCTAATCAAACAGATAATAATAAATTATAACAACAACTAATAAATTTCATGAGGCAGCGTCTGTCATCTGTCTGTGAACTGATAATTTTTCTATTTCTACAAATTTGTTTTAGAACGAAACCAAAGTGTAATCCAATAACCTGACGTAATGGCGTTTTCGCAAATGGTGTGTAACACGTGTTGTATATACATATGATAAAGTGTTCGTTATACAAGGGTAGTATAATTTGTGGATATTGTTTCTTTTTAACAATATCCCACTACAAATAACAAAAAATTGGCTGATTGAATATTACTGCATTGCCTAAATATTTTAGACGGTTTCGATAAACGTAACCGCGGTCAAAATATGCAGGTAAGGCAGGGAAACTGAAAACCTGGCTGTTTGCATGTGTAATGGACATGTACTTTACCGGACGTAACGATGTAAGACGATAAGAGTGTTGTATAGTACTATAGCTGACAATGGAACGATTTGTGAATAAGTTCTCAATCAACAGTTCAATGATGACGTTATCTGTGCTATACCATATTTCTGGCGTATAGCCAAATATGCAGCCCTAAGGCACGATTTCTTATTCAATTTATAGGGAAACATAATTATTATGTAAATTAAAATGTAACTCAAGATGACATCACTTTGTTTACACTTGCTTATTTCTAATTGGTTAAAATCAAAAAAATTGTGAGAAAATACCAAATCAGGTGCCATAGTCCATTGTCATATAAGTGAATGAACCCTCAAGGCAAATTAACAGAAATGCATACTCGAGTTTGTTGACCTGTCTATCAAAGTTCACCAAAGTTTATTAACCTCAAGTTCATACAGAGTGCTTGAATCATCTCCTCCTAAGACATTCAAGTTAATACCACTGCAGAATCGCATCTGACGTCATTTTGATTCTCGGGAATCATAAAGTCTTCGGTACCATAGTATTTGGAGACAAATCTCACACCGGGTATATTCTCCAATCAGGCTTCTCTCCTTGCAAAGAATGTAACAATTCGTGCATGCATTATATGTATTAAATATTTCTTTATTTCTCGGATTTTCTACACCTAAAAAAGGTCACAAAATATTCCCCTCTCTATGTAAATTACGTATGTATTTACCGGTAAAATCTTATAAGCCTAACATGAAGGGCGTAATACTCGGAAATCATTTAAACTTTGGATTCCTGACACATATGTACATTTTTCCACAAATCATTCACACATTTTCATTGATATCCTCCTTGTTGCCATGGTTACCAACTGTACTGCCGCTAACACTGGCAAAAAATACATTAGAGAGGTAGAGGGGTGAAGATGGTAAATGAAAGTAACTGTTGCTATCTGCTGTTAATTTCAACATGTAGGTCAAATACAAATGAGTGTGGTCTCGGCAAATTAAATTACAAAACACCCATTACCTTATGACATGCAAAGTTTCCATCGTTTGCATCTAAAGCTTTTTTAGCATGTGCCAATGCTTCATATGTTAGCGTCTTCTTTACGTTGGTCTCGGTTGTCGACAACTGTGCAAGGTCTCGTGCAGCTCTTGCTAATCTCCATAGTAACTCATCATTCTTACTGTCTTTGTGTTGGATGAGTAGATCGTACAACTCTTTAGTATTATTGGCATCATATAGTACATCAGCTGTGTGGATTAATAACAACTCTGGATCTGGCTCTGGTTCTGGTGTTTTCGCGGCTTCTAAAAATGCAGGAAAAGTTGAATGATATTTGATTAGCTTGACATTTTCAGTATTTTTTGATGACTCATAACCTGACATGACCTATTGGCTGCTAACAATTAAAAAGTAAAGCAAGTAAAAATCATGTTGACATAGTGATGAAACCTGCAAAATTTGTGTGCCAAAAATCTCAACGCCTCATTTTTGAAGAACAGTTTTACCAGAAACATGCTTTTATTTTGCAATGACTAACACTGAGTACACAGCTACAATGTTGAATCAACATAAACATGTATCACATGCGCGACAGCACCAAATCACCAAGATACATGTCTTGTCTTCTATTGGCTAGGATTTGTGTGGTGGATCAGTGTGGACAGGTTTCATGGTCTCTGCACAAAATAACGTGGTTTGTTATGCATCCTTTCATTGGGGGATGCCCTATGGCCGAGGGGAAGATGTTACGCTGTGATGTGCAAATACGTGAATGATTTGGCATGTACGAAAGATTTGTTTTGAGTCATGCATGCAGTACATGTTTGCTTTGATATAAGGTAGTTTGCTACCATTAAAAAAAAAATTCAGAAATTCTCAAAATCCAGCAAAAGCGCTTGGGTTACCGTATAATGTTAAAAATTCTGAAATAAAAACATAAGGCCACCGAATTAAGTTTTTAAGTTTTTTGAATAGCTTGCAGGTTTTTATGACAGAAACATTCCATCATATCTCAAAATTTTGTTCAGTGACCTGTGCTAAAAATATTTGAATATTATATTAGGTTATCCATGAAATAATGTGTTTTCATTGAATCCTATGGAAAATGTTCCAAAATGGCCGCGTTTTAGATTATTTTGCACATGTTTTCTTGTAAACACATCCTTCTTTCTCCGTAAAAACGTTAAATATGAATGACAGGCAGGTATGTGAATCATCACACAACAATTTTCAAATGATTTACTTCAATCAATGTTTTCATGTTTTAATGGTAGCAAACTACCGTAACATAATTTACCATGCCATATATTCAATGTTAACTTACATGGCATGCATGTTGTTTTGGTGACTGTAATTTATTGTAATTTACTGATGGTGTGATATGTCAGCAATGTTCATTTAGAACTAAAGTTAGATATTAAATGAGAAACATTTGACACAAAAACTCCAAGTTTAATATAAGTTGGATATTAAAGTGGGTCAAAAACTTCAAGAAAAAAAAATATAAAACCAAATGTTGATCTCTTTTAGATAGCACACAATCAAAGAACTATTGTGTGACCATTATGTTGTCATTTTCAGCAGGGAGATAACCCCCTCTATTGTTTACTTGACGGAGATGCACAATGGGAATACCATATAGGTCCATGGGAATACCAAGATATTGTATTGTATTGTCTAGGGGCAGTCACCTTTGAGCTAACACGAATACATTATCTGAAAGCTGAAAGATGAAGGTTGAATAAGATAGTGTATATGCCATACGAATGTTTACCTAAAGAATTATCTGACGCCAATTTTGTAGGTCAAAGAAATCTTAAGGTGGTTTTGGGGAATTTTTTTTTGTAAATAGTTTTTTGTGACAATAAACAGTCTTGTTTTTTTTTATTTATGTTTTAGTTTTTTAATTATATCCTGTCATGTCTGTAGTTGTAACACTTGTATTTGCTTGACAGTGACTGAACACAGCATTCTCTAAGTCAGACCGAAAACGGAAACGAGACAAAAACAAAAGATTTTAGCGCATGGGTGAAATAACATTGCTAAGTATTATCGTCAGGGAAAGCTATTGTTTAAAGGGCGGCAGTCGTTATGCCGCGTCCTGTTCCATATGGGACACATAGCGACGTATACAACGTGTGTAAAATACATTGTTTATTTACATGAAATTCGAACACATGCTGTGTGACAACCACCGCGCTTTAAACTAGTCTGTGATTGGTTACTGGCAATGTTTGGGGGATTTTGACCAGTTTGTGAGGTAGGCTTGACTTAGAGAATTACAAACTTTTCTTGCACAGATCATTCATGTGTCTAACTGCGGTTAGTTAGATTAGACCAAAACGACAATAGAGAAATTGACCTTCAATTAATCCTTCAGATGAACAGTGTTGAGGCATATGCACTAGACTAAAGTATATTTGTATATATGTAAGCATTCAGATGATACATGTACATGTATATAGATTGTTATTGTAGTCAATTTTCAATTCATTTTAACCCTCAACATAAAAATACAATTAATTAAGATTTATATAATTCGCTACACAACAACAGTGCATGAATGAGATAATAAAGGTTATCACACAGTATCATTTGTTTATAAAGGCTAGTTGATATGAGTGACATCATGGCAGTGACGCTATAATTATTAACCAGCTTTACAGAGAAGAGCTAATTACATGTTGATTTACTGTGTTGTAAATCCTATAAAAAATGCGTCTGTCACTGTGAGCGTATAGGTGAACATTGTGTCCGGTCAAGTTAAATAAAATGAAAATGATATAAATATCGATATCATTTTATAAATATCATTAAAATCTTATATTATCAACCATTGTTTGTGTTACAAATGCTACAAAAATTAGTTCAAAATCACAGAGTCAGGGGTTGTTTGTAATGAGTGCATATGGAGAGTTCTATTTGAAAATTCTACACAAGAAATATATCAAAGTCTAAAAGCACCAAGTATATTCATTCATGATCTAAATGCAGTTTATGAAACAAAATTTAGTTTTGGAAATATAAACTACTGCCAACTCATCTTGGAATCATCTCTCTCTTTGTCAGGACTAGCTATCTTTTTCAAAAATCTTCCTCGGCACTGCGAGCAGTGTCAGTAAAAACTGCTCCAGGATGCCCCTTTCGCTACATTATATAGCAGTCAAACAAAAACTGGTCAGACTTGAGGTGCCCCATGACCCATTTTATCCCGATGCAGGATTTTTAGCCAGCTACCAGTCCACCCACCAAACAGAATGGCAACTTTGATTTTGGACTGGCAATTTTTTTCCATTTTTCTGTTTTTTCCTATTGTTCTTTGATAATTTTGCCAAAATATATCCAAATCCATCTATATTTTCAATAAGTTGAATTGTTTTGGACTGGCAGTTGCAAATTTCTGGCTAATAGCCTGTCCCAAGGTCACTTGTTTCAAAACCATTCAACACCTTGCTCTTAAATCACAATGATCCTGATTCACAGATTTGTTTAAACAGATTTCAGACAAAAAATAGAAACTATAAGTGCAGTTTGTAATTGAGATAGTTGCGGTTTTTGAATTGTTGACATAAATACTATTAGTCAGACGTTTTGTCATGAGTATAATGTATATTGTTATTAGACAAACTAACATAGTTGAAAGAACAAAAAATGCATCAATTATAGTATTACGAAACTGGTCAATTGCTTCGCAAATTATACATTTTTATTCCAAAATACATTGAGTGGTTTTTTACATATACATCGATCGACTCGATGAGTTGAGATGGGTGGAGCGTCTCAAGTCAGGCAGTGTATGATGGGCTTTAATTTTCAAAGCATTGTACGAGTAATTGTTGTTATCCAATCTGATAATTCTCCTGTCACTGAGTACCATTGCGTGATTTTTTGTTTGTTCACTGTGTATTGTGTGATGATCCATGATCATGGGATACATAACCATTGAACTGTCCAAGTAAAAGTCTTACCTGGTTCAGGTGGCGCTGATCCCCAAAAGCTGAGACTTAACAATGGTGCTGCTGGAAATAGAATCCGACTGAATTTTGAGTTTCTGCCATTCTTTATATATCCTGTTGTCTTCAAGAAGAAAATAATGTTAATGGTATGAATACTAATTATGGTTTCCAAAATGATGTATCTCTATTTTATAATATTCATATCAAAGTAGATTTTCTATGCAAGATTTGTTTTTAATTTGCTAATCAATTTAGAAATAAGTTTGATTTGTTGGTCAATCTACAATGGAAAAACAAGTTAAGCTTGAGCAGAGGCACATCACTTTGGTGTTGACACTGTTTTTAGTTCCAGCTGTAATGTACCAGACTATGACGGCAACTCATTGCAAGATTAATAGAATTATTATATGAACACGCGACTAATTTGCATAGTTATTTCATGGCTCTTGATAGTCTAGTTTGTGCAAGAAAATGATTTCTGGACGTTTTATTACACAAATAGGCATAACCATAAAATTAAATAATACAAGTCATTGTCAATGACACGTCCCCGTTCCGTTCATATTGGAGTGACATATACATTCAAAGCAGATCATGACCGAAATCTCAGACCACATTCAGTGGTCTGATCCGAAATGCACCTGCATATGTACAACACATTGTACTAAATCTGAACAAAATTCATCCATGCATGACTGAGATCCGGTTCCGGAATTGTGAAAATACGTGATTTTGATGCATTTTCGGCCTTAAAATGGCCATCATTCAGCTATTGTTAAGCGGATCATGAAACAAATGCACATATCTATTTGTGACATGATGTACCATGTGTGTGTAAAGTTTGAACTTGATCAATCCAGACATGTCTCGGATACAGATCCAGAACTGAATTCTTCAAAACAAAATGGCCGCCTCTCGGCCATTTCGAACTTGATCCGGAAAATAAAATGACGTGCATCAAGGTCCTATTATGTTTAATGTATGTACCAAATTTGAACAAAATCTGTCCATGCATAACTGAGATCCGGGTCCAGAATGGTGAAAATGTGCGATTTCAATGCATTTTCGGCCTTAAAGCGGCTGCCATTTGGCTATCGTTAATGAGATCATGAAAAAAATGCACATACATATTTGTGACATGATGTACTTTGTGTGTGTGAAGTTTGAACTCGATCAATTCAGGCATGTCTCAGATACGGATCCAGAACTGAATTCTTTAAAACAAAATGGCTGCCAAATGTTTGTGCATATGTCCCATATAATTGTGTGATGTATGAGTGAAGTTTGAACTTAATCGGTCCATGCATGTTCGAGATACAGGTGATAACGGACGCATGGACGCACACAGGGCAAACCATAAGTCCCCGTTTACGTCCGAACGGGGACTAATAAATGAAGTGTTAAAATGTACCAAGGCAATTCAAGTTGTGCTTCAAATGTCCAGAAAACACAACTTTAGAAGGGACTATTTTATCTCATTTGCATATTTAGCAACCTTGTAACCATGAATACACAGTACATATGTAATAATATTATGTAACATTTAGAGGTACACTTATGCAGATATTGAGTTCTGCTCATCTGTTTTCCCTGATGTTTTCATCTAACCCCATTTTTCAGTCCTGGGCATCCAGTTTTGTGGCTGAACCCCTGTCATTTTACGATACTTTTTACTATAAACAACACCACTAATCCCTACAATATATGCTCCACAAACACTGTCAATCAACTTTAACTATTAACTTTAACTATTTTAACTAAGGGTCCATAGCTCTTCTTGTGTTGGTTTTTAGTTTTTTTGTCCAAACAATGATGAGATAGTATGGTTTCAATAAAACACATTTACTTGAGTTGATCAAAATCAAATAAGTCTGACTTAAAAATTTATTTTGTAAACCAAATGCTAATCGTTATTTTGTCTCTAAACAAAACAAAACCTGAAAATTATTGCTGCAAGGTTTGTGATGGTATTTTAGTTATTTTTGGTACATTTGGTTTCTTTAAGAAAAGATATGGTTCCTCCCATAGACAGAAAGAGTTCATTAAGGCCCCCTCAAACCTAACCTCAACCCTAACCCCCTAATGTAATTCAATATGCCCCTCCAAATAACTATAAGTGACCTGAAGAGGGGGATATACAATTGAAATGGGGGAGGGGCAATGAAGGTGAATGGTTAGGATGGGCAAAGAGGCCCTGAGCTGAGGAACTCTTACCTAAAAATATTTGTATAAACTGGATACTAGCCGATAACCACCACCCTCCCCCATACAGGCTGGGCATATAGTTTATTATAGTTCCTGGGCTCCCAATAAATCAACCACAACTTTCCCCACGATGCAATTAAACATCCATGTAATGTAAAACAAAGATTACATCCACACATCTCAGGTGTTCATTGCTTTTAGTTTCCCAACCGGTGTGTATATGCTAATCCACACATCTACGCCTGGCAACAAGACAGAAAAGTTCTTATTACTAAAATCTGTACTAGAAGCCACATCCCTAATAGAATTTGCACCTATTCTTTTTGAGAACCAAAAAAATCATCATTTCTCATATGTGTAGATGCTCTAATTGAAGCCGCTCCCCTTCTATTGCATTATACCATTTTAATAGAAACTGCGGCTTCTAATGCAGATTTTACAGTAGTATCTGAAAACACAGTTTGCAGCTCCACTGCAGAATTTAACTATTAATTATGCAAATGAGTTTCGACAGACAATGATCAGCCGTAAGCAAAATTTGTGTTCACGTACGACAGGTCACATCCATGCAAATTATTTCTCAGAAGAAGATTACTTCCAATGAAAATGTCACGCATCCGCTACGCTTACCATTTGTCTCAATCGGTACCGTGGCCAACCACGGACAGAATTGCCGATGGAAGAACGAAGAAACCACCCAAAATATCTCCTGCACACGGGCGCAGCCATTTTGAAATTAAGAACCGTGTGAGGGCGATATCGTCTGGTTACATGTTGGAAGATTCAATTACAGGCACCGACCACTTGTCTTGTGGGGGTGTAAAGTCTAGATCATATGTGTGTATCTGAGTTGTGTTCAGAAAGACTGTTTCTGTTTCTGTATAGCGGGATCTGCAATTTTGTTTCCGTTTTGGGAGGTACATTGTCTGTTCTGCTATTGTCTACTAAAATAAATAAAAATCTTCCTGAAGAAACAAATATTTGTTTCAGGTAGCAGGATAGTCTTTGCCAGAAAATTGTTAATGTCAGTATTACCAGAACAAAAAAGGCCAAAGCCTATACATTTGTAGACAGATTTGGGTTGAAAAACACGTTTGTGTAGGCTGTTAGTTTTAGGGTCACACGACTCCAAAAATCAACAGACGCGATAAATGAGTAATATGAATAAAAGCGCTGTCCAAAAATACACAATTGTAAAGAATACGTCATAAAGTGTTTTTTTCTCATTATGGTTTTCATCATTTTTTAAACGGCAACTGTTTCTTCACATTAGGGTCACTGTGAGGTTAGGTTTGTTTTTCCGAACGACATTTCAGAAAACACAGGACGGATGACTTGAAAGCTAATATTCTCAAAAACAAAAACAAAAGCCGTATCGTAGTGCTATAGTCAGTGAGTCGCTATTCGAATTTTACTAGCAAACTTATTCAAAATAAAAACGGAGAAAACAGCACTTTTGTCTGTATTTAGGTTTGTATTTTCGGCAAGATTATCTTTTTAGAAGATACACATTTCTGTAAATTTTAGTTGACCGGCGTTTTCATGTTTTTGGCCTATTTCAAGCAACTTCCTCTTCTTTTGGAAATAACCATTGTTTATATCTTATCTATAGGTGTTGGTAACCAAAGACATTAGAAAGAGATTTCTATTGTCCTTGTGATAACATAGGTGCTAATCCTCTGTCATACCTACTTGAGCTTGTTGTAGTTATGTTTGACAATCGTGAATAACACTATTTACACAGTTTACCATGAGTAAACAAAGACTTGTGCGATGTTATTAGTATTACATGGACCACGGTTGGGTTTTTTTTAGTAACCGTGCATGGACCTACAAGGTAGGTCCGTGATTATTGGAAGAGAAAAACATGTTTTTGTTTTCATGAAAAACAAAACAAAATATATATGACACTAAATAAACCGAATGCCAAAGTATTCATTATTTTTTAAAAAAAACGAAAACAAATTAAATATTATACTTCTACCACACACTTAGACGGACGAATTTCAAAGCAAAACATTACAATAATCGGCTTACGAGAAAAAATCAAGGTCAAGAACTTAACACACAAATAATTTGCATTTTTTCTGTCATATTCTCAATAAAAATATTGGAAAAAAAATAAAATACACACCGTACAATACATTTTACTGCATACGTGCATAAGAGCATGCGACCGTAATTTATTAATATACGTCATTTGTGTCAGGAAAAGGGCCGACAATTTCCATGATATTTGAACATGTAATGGAACTAACCCTTCATTTCTTAAGAATCTGCTTAAAATATTCATGAAAAGTGGAATATCATGTTGTTTGAGAAGAACTTCACAAAATGTTCACCTTAAAGTCCTAGAATGCATGTCTGAGATGTAACGTTGTGTTGATGGGGCGTTGATGGGTTGTTGAATGGACAATTACTGTTAATATTCACTCTACATACCAAAACTCTGCCCATGATAGCCATAACCTGGGGGGGGGGGGGATTTATTACTAATAATAGTTCAGGACTAATGTTTGTAACCGCTTACAAAGATAAATTCATGTTTCCTATATGTTTTGCTGCTCGCGAAAGGGGACAACAAATTTTCAAATTATGGGAGAAATTCCATTCGAGACGACCAGGGTGTGCCAGTGGGCTTCTTTGATTCTACACATTTATTTATAAATTATAACCTCATGCCAGTATCGGATATATATTATCAGAGGTACATTACTCGGGGTTTGCAACGCACATAGGCTTGTGTAGTTACATCATACTATCAAGGAGGTATTCTATTTGAGAATCAACTCGTAGTGACGTACCAGGGGCGGATACAGGATTTTTTTTTTATGGATCCAAACTTTAAAATCGCCAGACTAAGTTAATGATTTTGTTATATTATACAAAAACAAATTGAATAAATTTTTCAACGGGGGGGGGGGGTCCCGGACCCCAAGAACCCCCTAGATCCGCCACTGCGTACATCTGATATCGGCCCGGGCACCAGCAAGGTTGCTTATGATGAGCGAGTTTATAGGTCAAATACAAACTTACAAAGTGGTTCATAACGGAATATTGCTGTATCTGTCAATTAATGAAAACAAACCATCCACCGTATTCGTAAACATGCGATTTCTTCATTGTTTTGTTTTTTCAGAGTAGGGTCTATTTTTCCAAAAGAACTTAAACTTCTGAAAAACGTATTTTTTGTCGATATGTGTGGGTGCAGATTTGTCTCACATCTCTAGAATTAGTAGAATTGCGTAAAAACGGGCGCGTGTCTGTCTGTCTAAGATTATTTAGCAGGTTACGTCTTCAAACAACCCCGCCCCCAGCATACTGTGCCGTCAACAACACACGCACGCATATTAATAAGTGGTCCGTGCCCGTGGTCGCGTCCGTATCTTGGGAAAAATAGATCACGGAGCGAATAACATCATGGACACGGATTGCGTGTCAAATCCACACCCCTCCGAGATACCACTTGAAGCCCAGAAGCGCTTGTTATTTACTATTATTGTCATGGTTATCACTTCTTGTTATTCCGTGATGCAATGCAACGCAATACAATAAAATAACATACTCGCATCTCCATGCAGGTTGAAAGATACTTGGCTCTGCACCCCATCATAATAATGGATTGTCCCGGTGTATGCAAATATTTCAATAAGTTCAATAACAGGTCGATCTAGGTGAACCATACTCTACTACTCTAATTTGGTGACGATTTTTCTGTGGGCTCCGTCAAATGTCGCTTTTCTCAGACCGTCGACGACATCTATACATCACGGTATACCTTCTTCGTAGGGACAAATTGAGCATTTTTTTTTCTAATGTGTGACGATCGTTGTGTAAAGGACAGAGCAGTGTGGTGAAAACTGAGGTCGCGCTGTGTAAAATAATATGGATGACAACACCAATGATACGGCTGTTGGTTGTATGCCAGCTATGGCGACTGGTGCGATGGACAGTGAAAAAGGCAATGCCCCAAAGTTTTCGCGCAGGAATCGTTTTCCAAACGGTCTTGTTGTTGACACAGCCCAAGCCGCTGCACTTCAACTGCAAGACCTCCAGCTGGAAAACCAATCGTGTGATCGCGAGGTGGAACAAGCGACGAATGCAGGATTCAGGTGTCGCACACCATCTGGGAGCTGCCTGAAAAGCCCGTGTAAGACCCCACCAACCACCCCATTTGAAAAGAAACACGTTCGATTTGCAGACAACCTAGGAAAAAGGCTTATTCAAGGCGTGCGATTGATAGAACGCAGTGATTCAGCTTCTGACATTCAAGTGCCTGATTATGTTTACGAGACACTAGGAATGCATCCGAATGACCCCATCCCGGTGACCAGCACATTTTTACATCCACTTTTTGATCAGCCGTGCGCCGACTATATGGACTTCCAAAATAGACTCCGCACCTACAATGTTTGCTTGGAGAATGCCGTATCATCGGATTTGACGGTGCTGGGAACTGTCAGAGTGTGCAACCTTGGTTTTCACAAAACCGTCGAAGTGCGATACACAATGGACGAGTGGCGTTCAACTACAAATAAAGCGGCCACTTATGTGAAAGATTCATGCGATGGCCCCACGGACAGGTTTACCTTCGGCCTCTCAGCTCCCCATGACCTAGGAATTGGCAATCGTTTAGAATTCGCTGTCTGTTTTAAAGTCGGTAGCAATGAATTCTGGGATAATAATAATGGAAAAAATTACATTTTTGAGTGCGAGCCCAAAGAGAATGTTTTCGACTTGTATTAGGAATACACTTGCATGCCAAATAATAGTTTTACCATAAAGGAGTGTCGTTTCGATTTTTAAAATTATTATAATGGCAATCACTTGAAATTCCTAATTAAGGTAATTTAATCAACCTGAGTGAAAAAAAAAAAAATAAACTTTAAAAATTACAATTTCACTGTGATTGCCACTACTTTCAAATTACTGTTGCTAGAGGGTGTAATGTATAATTTGACCAGCCAAGGGAAAAACTTTATATAAAATTGATGTCATCAAAACTTGATTCTTGCACCAAAATTTAACAGTTTTGAAGTCTATCTGTGCTGGGCATTACTATGGCAATCATTTTGGGTATATAAGCACAACTAAAGATAAATGACTGTCAGACAACATTTTTATCAATTTAAACCCAAAAATTTATATATTTTATAGTTAAAATATTAAATTCTATTTCTTCATCTTCTTTGCTACCATGCCAACTGACATAACAATAAGTTCCAATATATATACATGTACCAAATACGGTAAACCATTCTGGCCTACATGATCACATATGGGATGGTTTATGTGTGGTTTAATTTCAACTGAGCATTACCAAAAAGTGTATTACATTATCTTTATCAGTAATGATACATTTAATTAACATATGCTAAAATTTTTAGTCACGTGATCTATTTCTTCATCTGCTTCTATCATCAATAAATACTGGTGAATTGTTATTATAATATCAGTGGATGGAGCTTCTAAATTTGATTTGATATACCTTTAATTATTCTCGGACTCCAAAATCTTCCAAATGTCAACACCCCTTCAAGTTAAGGACTAGTTTTGGGTATGCATGCCATGCTTCTGGTGCAACATTATCAGGAAAAGAAAAACTATGATTGGAACATTTAAAGTGATTTACATTCATCCCTGTACAGAATTGCCATTGTGAACGGTTATTAATCGGCAATTCATAGTGACAAAGGGGTTGAAGACATCAAGTAAACGTTTCAAATCTGATAACAGTAAGATTCAAAACGAGATGCTTTTGATTTTACAGCATCACGATGTGAATATAAATTAAGATCTGTGCAGTCAATCAACAAAGTATCTACATCATGAGTGCGAGAAGCTCAACTTATCTGACCTTTGGATGACCTTTGATAAGAATGAAAGAAATGAACCTTTAACATTGACATAAAGTTCTTTTGCTGGAGACCATGGCTACCACACAGGATAATGGACCTAAAGGGATCACATGTTTCTCTCCAGTGGGAGGTCAGTACTGTATTGTGCTGACTTTTAAACTTGGATACTTGCCATTGCTATAAAAGTTGAGTAATTGATTGATTATAGCAATATTGTGTATTGTATAACAATTTTAGTTCTACATTATTTTTGGGGGGGGGGGTGAATCTTTATTTTATTATTATACATCAACAATAGATTTTAACCATTTGTAATTAACAAGCCATTTGAAAGCGTTCAGAACGTGTTCGAATGTGTTTAGGGTCTTCCATATAAGGACAACATGCAGCATTTTACGTCACATTCGATCACTCCTGTTTACATCAGACACAATCACTAGTGCAGTAATAACATTTTATTACTGAAATGATCTCGCGGGCAAGGACTTTCTAAAATGTGTTTTGTTGACCTTTTGTGCTGTTTTCCCACAAAATTACGACCACTGTAAAATGTGTATTAGAAGCCGCGGCTTCTATTGAAATGGTACAACACAACAGAGGGGATGCGGCTTCTATTAGAGCATCTACACATATGAGAAATGATGAATTTTTGATTCTCAATTATTCGAAAAGAATGGAAGCGACTTCTATTAGGGATGCGGCTTCTAATAATAACAGATTTTACGACTACAAATATAGAAAAGATGTATAATAATAAAGTTAGCGCAAGAATACAGCAAAGTAGTATGAATTACCATACTGCCTTTGTGCACTATACTTCAGAGCTGAAACAAATACACTAAAACAATAATTTTTCTTTCGTAGTGAAAGTATGTGTAAACATTATAATCATCAAAACCTATGATTTGTGTGCATATGAATAACTTTGATATTTTTAATCATTTTTGTTAATTATTGAGTATTGATATACAATCTGAATTATGTTTTATCAAGCACTAAAAAGTTCCTTTTGCAGCAAATATTACGATATTTGAGAATATATTTACCGTTGCAAATGTGGATGTGGTAGGGCTAAAAAATGCATACCCGGTATAAAGTTGCATGATACAACAACATTAGTCCGCAATAAAATACAATCCAGGGTGTATATCAATATGTACCACTGTCGCTGTCATGCGCAATTCCTTAGCATGGGTCAAGAGGTCAAACATGTTAGCCCATGTGTAGACGCATAGCATGGGCTAGTCTGATTACACATGCCAATCTGATCTAGCTTGTACACTTAGTATGGACTATGGAAATGTGTTTGAACTAAAGTACGTATCCTCTAGAATGACTTTGGCAGGATTTCCTACTTATGACTACCAGCGGTATATATTTCAAGCAAAATGAACTCATCTATGAGACTCAACAAGTGATTTCTGTATTATGTTTGGGTCATTCTGTAGTCAAGTCTAGTAGGTCCTCCATGTACAAAGATGCAACTGGATCTAGCCGATGTATTAACGTACAGGGTTAGCCTTAACACTAGTCCATACTAAATGTAGCAGCCTGAACTAATTTTAACCATTTTAATTATAATTCTTTTGAATTTTGTTTACAGTGTTGATGGTATTTACATGTAGAGTTTTCAAGTTGCATTTGCATCATTGTTTAATATTATTGAAAAAATCAAAGATGCTTTAATTGAAATAATTTTTTTTTTTTTGGATTTTTATTTTTTCTGGTTTCATATTTAAATATTAAGTTAGTTTTTTTTTTTTTTTTGGAAGTTAAAATTGCAGCAAGTTAATCTGAAAATGGATACTTTGTCTGCATCCTTGGTAACAATTTCAGTTTCACCATGGCATAAGGATGGTCATAACCTCTTCAGCTATTGTAATTACATTTAATGAGTCAACTATTATAAATTCTGTCAGTGGTGATTGTAGAAATACAGTGAAAAGTTTTTCTTTAGTTTTAAAACAGAATGGAGTTGCTGTGAAATTTCTTTTGCTTTCCTCTCTCAAATATGTGAGTTTTTTATTTTTTGCATTTTCTTGATGCAGGTTTTTTGAAAAAAAAAAAAACACCCAGATTTTAGAATAATCAACTCCTAATTAAGATAATTTAAGATAATCCTTTGCTGCTGCTGTACTTTCTGTAAAAAATTCACTGCACATGCTGAGTGTCAAGGTCATAACAATCTAGGACAGAGCTTTTTTTCAAATTTACCTAACTTATAACGCCCTCGAATCACTGTAGAATAATTGCTAAGTGCTGCATGTTAATTACTATTTTATGATAATTTGCATGCAAAATAATACGCTGCATGCAGTTATATGAACCGAATGAACCTGAAAATGACAATAACAATCTTGAGTATGCTGTACGTATCAATGTCTGCATATCGCAATCACAAATGCCATACGTCGACATTTTGGTCACAAATACCTGCATCTTAGGGGCTGCTCATTTGAAAACTAGTAGGGGGACATGCAGGAGGAAGGGTACGCTGCAAAAAAAAAAAGAAATTTGCCCTCAACGTCTAAATTGTTTTTCTTTTCTCTCGTTCCACAACTGTTTTACCTGAAATCCTCCAGCCCACTTTGTTTTCAAATTGGTAACCCAGAATAAATACATTTGATATATATATATATATTTATAATTGTATAGACACACAAGTGCAGACTTGTTTGTAGTTAAGACATGAAGTACAAGTTAATATGTTTAGACATTCCTATAGATTTGACCACACCTAAACAGGTGCTTTTGTGTGCGAGTTTTTTGATCACATGACTGATTTAAATGTACATAGTTGCTTCAGATTGCATGGATTGAATCTCTCCATTTGGCATTTAATGCTATAGATATAGTTTATGATACCAGCTTTTGTTACAGACTGGTGTTTTAAAGGTCAGTTTTGTTATTGTTAATTTTAATTGTACTAGGTGCCATAGGGCCTGAAAAATAATTGTATATTTTTTGATGCACTCTAGTATTTATTATATTTACCGCACCTGCTTTAAGAAATGCAAAACACTGGTGTTTTTAATAGTACATTAGATTTTGATTTAATGTTGGTATACGTAGTGTTTATAACCATTTTAAAAATGGGAATGTTTAAACAGCATGATCACAGATTTGAGCATGTTTTTTTAGTCTAATCTATAGAAACCAATTTTACATCAAAGGGGAAACCTATTTTTTAAAAACTAAATACTGTTTTTTTAGTCCATTCTTCCTAGACTTGTGTGTATAACAGACATGTCATACGTTCGTTTAATTCTTTGAGCGTCAATGTCAACTTTTGACATAATCTACAAATTGATTTTGTAGTCTGCTTCTTCCTACGTAAAGTGTTGATAAAAAATTTTAATCAAAAAACTAAAAATACTGGCGTAATATCTGAAATTGTCTGTATGGGCCAAAATAATGTGAAAATTTTACAAAATGTAAAAATATTTGCACTAAATTTGGGATGGAAAAATATCTGGTACTCAAAGGGTTGAAACGAAACAATAATCAGTCCCTTTGGTGTTTGGTCTAAACAACAATTACTCTACTGTATTTGAAGCTGTACAACAGTATTTTTGTTGTTGTAAAGACTCGAAATAGGTGATGGGACATTGCATGACAAGTTTTAAAGAATTTTGCTCAATTGTACTTTGAATGAAGTCAAAAGTTTAACTATATCTAGTCTGTCCAGTTGAGTCGTTAAGTTTTTTAAGTGATCAGATACATAGTTATAATTTATTGTCAAATGTTCTGCTTTAGATCAAAGAAGCATCAATCACATTACATAATGACTTTTCCATACTTTAATGTAATATCCTGAAATATATCCCTTTAAATATAGAAATTCTTAACATATTTTCTTTTACAAATTGACCAATCAACTTTCATATA